TCGATGCTAAATTTCCTCAAAGAAAAGCCACAGCTCCTCTTTATTGATTTCATATTAAAATGAAAAAAAACCACTCAGTAGGAGTAATTGTGTTATAGGCAACAGTGTCATTATGTATTAAAGCAAGTGCACAAAAAGATTGTCCCTTCTTTTTCCAGACAAGTCAGACACTATTTGATTAAGTGAATGAGATTTTCCTCATGAGGATAGAATCAAACAGACCAGTAAGATGCAGATATCTGAAATTCATAAAGATACAGAGCCTTGGCCATACTTTAAATACCTCTTTTTTTTTTTACCTAAAAGTGGGCTGCATTCTAAACCTGTGACCGCAAGCTCAGCCGCCACCATCCCTCCCTGCATAGACCTGAACATATGCCCCCTTTCATTTGCTTTTCTGCACAAAACATACCGTAAGCTGAGCTCAGCTACAGTACCAGTAGGTAGCCATATTGCAAACTGCAAACGGCTAAATAGATGGTTGTAGAAAACAGCTGCACAGAAACTGCTTGTTGTGAATTTTGTTTCTCCCAGAAAGGACTCCCCCCCTGAAACAGACTGCGTCTTATATCTTTGTGTGAGTTTTATTTTGGGTATTACATACCTTTTGATTTCTGAAACAGGCGACCAGCTTTCTAAACGTAGAGCCTGTAAATATATTGGCGACCCCTGTGGACAAAATGTTAACTCGTATCTCTTTGCTGATCATTTCCTGCCCAAACGTCAGTAGTGTTGTATATAAAAAAAAAATCTCATCTTGCTTTCTTTTTACATCCAATTGTATCGATCATTAAGAATCTTTAACTGAGGAAAACGTAACAACGGTTCTATTTGGACAGATTGCTGTTAACCACTTTGTCTGACATCTACTTCATGGCAGCGGTTTCAATATTATCAATATTAATTTCAGCTTGTTTCATTTCCAGCTAAAAACTCCTCATGGGAGCTTACAACACGATGCAACTTTCCCACCTTAAAATAGTCGTTTCAATGTCTCTAATAGTACAATAACTTTCAACATGGAGAATGGCTTTTCTCTAAATCGGTTTCCATTTGGCACATTATATTTATGGCAGATGTACATAAATGAGCCTTTAAAGTAGGTCTCCACTGCCTTTTGATATGTAACATTATGAATGATATACATAAATAAGCTTTTAAAACTGCTGGAAGTGTCCATGCCCCAGGCAGTTAATATGCAGAAAAAGATCAGCTCGGCTTCTCCCGGAGTATGGAGAGAAGCTGCACTCGGGCACATCTTGTATTTGGAGCAAAGGGCGAGGACATGGATCATCAAACTCTCCTGTGAGCTCATTACTCCCTCCAAAAGGCCAGGACGTTTCCAAGAAGCCAGGAAGAGATTAAGAAAGATGACTCGGATTTCTCCTTTTTGCCAATGGAATCTATTTCTTTTTTTTTCCCGAGGACGGATGGTGCGGGTCCGCTTTGAAACAGTTACCCACTTCGATTGAATCATTTCAGATCTCCACCGCCTGCTGCAATAATGGCGCTCTCGGCCTGACAGATAAAATTGATTCTGGAAAGATTGCGCACCAATTTTCGGACAATCTGATTTTCAGCCCCACGTGGAGCTTATCTGATGTTTTTATTGTTGCCTCAACATGAGGTTTGATAACAGAAGTGTAGTCTCTCTATTACTCTAACATCCCTGTCCTTGTCACTGGTAGTCATTCAAGTGAAAGAATCTGTGCAGTAGATGAGATTTAAACAAGTTTTAATGAGACATGTAAATAGGTGTAGCATTTAAAAGTACACAAAGCTCTTTATTCATATGAACAGAAGTTTCTTAATCAGCTTTATTTTAAAGTACCATGCTGTATTTTATTAGTTAGGGACATTTAAACTCAGAACAAAGAATACAATTTGGTATTTTTCATAGAGGAAGGACAATAGGTGCATTTATTTAAGTTGAAGGTAAAATGCACCTTTAAGAAAAAGCTAAAGACCCAGCTCTTTCATGAATACCTACTAACTTAATGATGATGGTCTCCATATTATTGATGATGATGATGGTAATGACGATGGTTTTTGTTTGATAGCGGTGACTTATAAAATGGTTTCTATACAGATTAGAGCTCTCAAGAACTGCCGTCAATGTTGTGCTTTGCCTCTGGTCACTTCCTGTCAGCACCTGTGTGTCCAATCAGACTCAAAGCTGATCGTTTGCTCTTACTGACATTGTTCCATTTTTTCTGGATCTTTGCTTGTGTTGTTCTTACTCTCTGATGTACGTCGCTTTGGATAAAAGCGTCTGCTAAGTGAATTGTAGAATTGTGGAATTTACAAGCATTGAGCATTAGCCATGATACTTTTTAAAGGAAGAATGTGCAACATTTTACACATAAATACAGCAGAAACCCAGTATATTTTGTCAACACCCATATTTTTATGTTGTTTAAGGATACTCTAATATACATAATTATAATATAAGGAGCCACAGAGAAAGACCTGGAAAGTGCAGGCTTTCCAGGGGAGGACTTAGGATTTTTATTTTACGCTTTCTTTATGCCTTTGCTAGAAAGAGATGGCAGTGCAGATTCAAGAAATCAGGGTTAGAAGGTGTGGGGAATGACCTGCGGCAATGGAGCCACAAGTTGAATAAAAAAAAAACCTGGGCCGCTTTTTGATGACTCTACCCTCTGTACATGCTGCACGCACACTAACCACTAGACCAGTGGTTCTCAACTGGTGGGTCGGGACCCAAAAGTGGGATGCAGAGAAGCTTTCTTGTGTGCTTGGAAAATAAAATTGTGTCAAAAAGTCTATGAAAACCTTTTCACACATTTTTGTTTTTGTTCCATTTCCTTGTTCTCTACCGTTTGAGGCCCAAACTGCACAATTCTTCATTCGATAAATCTGATTGGATGAAACATACCCGATAGTTGGGTCTTGATTGTTCATGTAGGAGTTGTTGATGGGTCCTGAGGCTGGACCAGTTGAGAACCATTTCACTACTAGACCACCGGCGCCCCCCTTTTTTCTTTTCTATTTTAAATTCTGTTGAGTCGTCGTGTGTCACAGGTGCTGGAAATGAGGACTAACACACTTTTCATTAAGATGGGAAAACTCAGTCATCTGACGCCATCTGTCAGCTCGGCGCTTACCGGGAGCGCACCGTGCCGTGCAGCAGGGGTGTCCTTGGACAAAGTAAGGGAGGGGGGAGAAAAGATGGCGAGGCAAACAAAGGGAACGGCTGCGGACAGTTTGGAAACCATCAAGGTGAAACGTCAGGTGGAGACGGGCTATTACTTATCGCTGCTGAGACTAAGTGAAAAAAAAAAAATGTGCACATTGTGACAAAAAGATGGATGGCTGACATATGCTGGCATTTGGAGTTATGAAAGAGAAAGGGAAAGACTTTTGTTCTTTGATTGTTCTTGGAGGTACGAGTACTCGTGTGCAGCTTTACTGTAATTAATATAGAACAATGTCGATGAGTGAGGCTGAAACAGAAGGTAGAGGCACTGCAGCATCACATAGTTTGTAATGAGTCACTCACATATAGACGTCAAACAGATGTATCATGCCAGCACGACTTGATCTTTAAAGAAGTGAAGAACAGCATTTAACTAAAGTACAGAAGAAAATGTTCTGCATGGACATGTTTACAGGAAGTTTTCTTAGAAACAGGTCATTGAAGAGGTTTCATCTGTCTGATTATTTGAAGTGTGTAAATTAAGATCTATCAGTGCAGCTGTGTTCACAAACACAAAGCAGCACTGATGTGTCACTTTGGATGATGTGATCTGCTCGTGAGAAACCATACCAGCAGCAATGTAAATAACAGAAATCATCTCATTAAAGGTAGAAGCAGCAGGGGAATGTGTGTCCATGGGGGAAGGGAAGACTCTGTGGTCAGGGACTTCAGAGCAATCTAAGACTGTGAAGAAATCCCAGCACACAAAAGAAACTCACTAAACACACAAAAGTTCAATGAATGGCTAAAAATAAGAAATGAAGCAAATTCGGATGAATCACAGCTTACAATAATGTGTGTTGTTGCAATATGTGTGAAGCGTTTCAGTTACAACTGGATGGTATTTTACTAACACGGCACCCCCTGTGTGGGGTCTCTGGAGCGTCTTCAGACGGTTCCCACGACACAGACGGAGCATACAGAGTGAGCCGCTCGTTCTGGAGTGGATTTAAAAAAAAAAAAAAACTTTATTTCAATAGGCATGAGAAGTAGATGAATCAGTGTCCATCGTGAGGGAATTCAGAGCACTACAACACAGTGAGGAGTTCAGAGAGTAATGACCCAATTTAAGGATCATTTCAAGTATTTTGTATTTAAGTATTTAATTTTTGCTTAATGTCAACTACTTTATTTATTTTTTATCCTATATTTGAATATTTAATATGTTATTATCTCTGTTGCGCAATGTGAAAACTGTCCTTAATGTTATTAATGTTGTGTTTTTAACTCTGTAAAACACTTTGAATTGCTTTTTGTATGAATAGCGCTCTAGAAATAAGTGTGCCCTGCCTCTCCCTGTCACGGACACCAAAATTACACTTTTGCACAAATCTGGATTTCTGTATGTAATCCAAACAGACGTAGCATCATACAAAGATTTGACTTCTGTACATTTGAGTTGACGATATTTGACTATTGACATTAACGGAAACCGTATTTACCAGAAGTTAAAGGTTTCCCTGATCGTTTTAAAATGTGAAAAATCAATTTAAAAAACTGCACTGATAATGAACACATTAATGTGCCCAGCTCTGTAACTCTGTACACCCAAACACACACACACACCCAGCATTACCAGCATCAATGTGTGTTATGTTGGAGACAGATTATAGATCTGTACAAAAAAATCATCCTGCAAGAATGACCCACGTGTTTCTCACACACACACACACACGTCAGTCTCAGCTTTGACTACCAGAGCCAGTCTCCATTTAACAGGTCTGAATTAAATCAGAATAATAAAGATGATCTGATGCACTCACAGGGTATAAGTGTGTCCTACCTTTGCTGATGTCCTGGTACTCCAGCCACAGCTGTCTCTGGACCTGTTTGTTGGGGTACCAGATGGTGCAGGACTCCTGGAAGCCGTACACCGCCTCCTGCACATAGTGGTTCCCGAACTCCCGGATGATGGAGACAAAGTCGCTCCGCTGCGTCGCCCCGTCCAGAGAATGGATGGCAGAGCTGAAGGCTGAGTGGATGGACAGAACAAAGGAGTTAGCATGAATGCTTTTATTGCAAAATAAGAGAACAAAAAAGGATGTTTGAGGGTAAATGTGATGTGTTTACCCAGCTTCACATCATCTGGTTAACACAAAGATACACATTTGTATTAGGTAGATCTGTTTGTTTCATAGCTGTGAGGCACACAAAGCTTCAGAGGCTCACAGGGTTTGCATGGATCACTGATGAATAAAGACATCTACACAGCACAATGAGAATTCACCCTCTGGATGTTACAGTAAATTCCCTCAGTACATCTCCCACTATACATCCTGTAGGCCGTATATGTACTGTATATATGGAGTGCAATAGCTGCACTTGTTCCCCATCTCTATCTGACCTTCGCATTGATCGGTGTGTTTTCACACCACAGAAGCAATCTCAACATCAAACTCGTTTCATAATAGTAATGCATCTTTAAAAAAAAAAGTCTCCTGATCTCTGTACAGACTCTAGTTTCCATCCTGGTCTTCTTTTTTTCACACCAAAATCAGATTATTTCCACACTAATGTTTTATCTTTTTAACCCATTTTTTTGTTGTTGCAAATATGTGTATTTCATTTTAGTATTCATGTCTCTCACTTTGATTTTTTTCCTGCAAAAGATCTGGTAAATCTGACCTGCCAATCATACTCCATACTCCGAGTGTACAGAGTACTGTGAATGATGCCACACAAAATTAAAAGGTTTGAAACCCACAAGCTTTATTAAACACCAAAATACTTAAAAATAAGCCATCAAACAAAGGTAAACAAAAGGGGCATGAGACCCCGGCCAAGAGGAAGAAAAGATGGGAAGGCGCTGAGGCAACCACGCACTCCCAGCACCTCCCCCTAAAACTAAGAAATAGAACCAACCTAAGAAAAACAAAAAATAGAAAACAGGACCTGGGGTGTGCCCAGACTTTTTGAACTGGGGTGTCCCACCAGGGGCCCTGACTTATGCAGGGACCACATGATGTTTGTCTGCACACACATGCAGATGAATTAAAAATGTTTTACGCTTTCTATCCCCACTAATGATACATAAGTCATGCAGTCTGGTAACATGTACATTTTCATGGCTTGATTCTATAGGGAGTCAAAAACAAAGATGTGCAAAGTCACAATGCTGAGTACTTAACAAACTGCAAGCAACCTCGTGTAAGCAGTCTAACTTGAAAAAAAATAGATTTACAGCTATTGAGGCCATTGCAAGGTAGACAGTGTGGATGGAAAGGGTTCAGTATTTATTTACAACTGAAAGTACTTCCATAAGCCTGTTGAGAACAACCAGAATAGTTAAGTTACACCTAAGTCCCGCCTCTGAATAGGCACATAGCCAATCATATACCATGTCACACCTCTGGACAAGCCCCTGAACAGGACAACTGGTGGTCTCCAGCCCAAACTAAAAATCCTAAACCCAACAATGGTCCTTATCCTGGGCCTACTGTACCTGCACCCTGAACTCAAGAGTTCATACTCCGACCAAAGGGGGGTGGAGAGGGTCTGCTGTAATCTTCTTGGTTAAATTCATGGTGTACTGGTCTGTCAGGTAAGAAATGCTGCACATTTGCTTCCCAGTTATTTGGCTGCCTAGTTTTATCCGTGAAGGTTGTGTCTGATGTGATCTTTGTTCTCGATGTGCTGCAGAACATGATCTGGCTGTAAAGCAGTTTTAACTGAGTCAGGCCCGTTCCCCTATTGCATATTCATGGCTTTAGTTATTTACTATGTACATAATTGAATAAGACATGTTTTACAGATGAATAAAACTACTTGGATATTTTGTTACTGCAGCAGAGCACTGTGAAGTCCGGGGGAAATTTCCCACTGGGACAATACATTTTCATTTTATCTTCATCTTTTCTTCTCAACTCCAACTTTTAATCTTTTCCTGTATTTTAAATGCAATAAAATGAAGTCATCTTGATCTCAATTTTCTGGAACAGAATACTTTCAGACTCATCTCAGCGCTACATGACGGCATTTCTCCACCGTGCTGGTTAACATCTAGGTAAAAGAGCATAATGGCCGTAAAGAACTAGCCATTAACTGCAGCTATACAGCCCTTGCTGGCTGTGTGCAGTGCAGTGCAGCGGCTTGCAATACAAATATTAGTTATGACTTTAACCGACTGGTAATTCTGGTGTCGACTTAATTGCAAGGATGACAATGTGGTGTATGATTTCTGGCAGACACAAGCGTTCAGGGCACAGGTGACTCGCTAAGCATTAGAAGTCCTTTTAAACGTTTGTCTCACTCTATGAACTGCACAGCTAGTGTGGGTGATCCTGAAGAACCTGTCAGGCTTCTGGAGACAAATCTCTTAAAGGGCTTTACACATCATTTAGACACATTAGCTAGCAGCTTACTGTTCATGAAGCCTTTTAACCAAGAAGGGAAGACAACGTTTCTCATGTGGGCATGAACAAGTCCAATTCTTATTCACAGTCAAATCCTCCTGATCTTTTATTTATTTTTTACTGTGTCAGGTCTTTTGTGTCTACAGAGTTCAGGCGGCAGCACGGCTTTTGTTTCTACCTGATGAAAATCACAATCAGAATATCAACATGTTGTGCACATGAATAAATAATGCAGAATGGGAAACTTCAGGGCACAGTAGAAAACACTCTTAACAAGGCTTTAAAGGAGCAGTATGTAACTCTGGCATCTAGTGTTTAAAATGGGTACTGCAGTCCAAATTCAAAACATTACAGAGAGCTGTCTCCCCCCCCGCCCCCTCCTCCCTATAAAGTTGATGTTCATGCAGGTTTTCATGTCACAGACACTGAAGCTTGTGTTTATCCAGCTCTGCATGGGTCTGTAAACCTTTCTGTGTTCTAACCTCTCTCCATTTTTAAAAAGGATTTCAAATATTTATCTTCCATCCCTGCAACACCTATTGGTTTGCCGTTTGTCTTGCAAACCGAGAAGTGAGGGTCAAAACGGCCGTGTGGGGGTGCCTTAAAAGCGCCTACCTTCTCTGGTCCAAACAAATCCAGAGCATTCAGGAGCAGAATCTAAAGTTAGAAGGAGGACATACTGGCAGCTGCATTGTTGTCAGAGAAGCCAGAACTTCAACATAGCATGTTTCCTTAATGTCTGATCATATAGTAAGATCACTTTATCATTAAATCAATAGATATTTTACTGACTGGACCTTTAAGAATGAACTGTTTCTGATCCGTAATGCAAGATTTATTTGTTTATTTATAGTCTGCTTCTTTAAGAGTATTTTTCCTCTATGAAATCAGCCGCCTTTCATTTAGAATGAAGCGCCGTGTTTGCTCGACATCAGGCACACATTAAGTACTTAAATGTCAGTTTATTGGCAGTCATGATGTTGGCTTAAATGCCTTAGGGTGCATCTTCAATATGTTAGATTTTTGTTATGTTACCCAAAAAAAAAAATCTGAACCTGTAGAAGTCTAAATGTTTGCTTTGATACATTTTCTTCATTTTACCAACAACATGTTCTGGTTATATAAAACTCTTGAATGTTTTTGTTTAAGCATGGTACTGTATATATATTTTTGAATAAAACAAATTCCACATAAGCTTAATGTGTCCTTACTCACCATGAACATCATGCACAAGGAGTCAAAAGATGGCAGCAACAAACACTTCCTGTCTTATACTGTCACTAGTGATGTCACGGGGGCGGGACATTCACAGAGTTGTTATTTTGAGCAGTTATCATTGAAATTCATGTCCATATGATTTTTTTTTACAAGACGCCTTGGTTTGCCTTGAACTGTCACACTTTATACAGCATCCTGATTTAGTTTTATATTTTCATAACACCTTCATAAGTAAGGACATGTTTTTTCAAAGAGTGTATCTATCAAAGGGCTGCACCTGTGAGAGTTTGATTAAAAATACATTTTCCTGGTTTTATTCCAGTGTTTGATCCTGATTTTATTTTTCTCTTCCTGTACAACGTCTCATGACACATCCTGCACTCAGGGACGATTACTAGTTTTTCAACCAATTAGAAATATTTGTCGAAGCTAACGATCCAACTAAATCCATTCCAACGTTATAAAATTAAACTTAAAAAAAACCTAATATACATGTGGCCCTTTTTCTGACTGGATCTTAAAATTCCTTTTCCTTCTGTTGCAGGGAGACACAAAGAGTGTTCCCTCTTTATCGAGTCCAATTTAAATTGCAGGAAAAACCAAGCAGCCACCTGCAGGGTTGAAAAATGAAGCCAATGCTGCAGTTCATCGAGTGTCCACTTGAGGCGGGCTCCAGGAACACTGGAAGTCACAAACACACCACAACCAAAAAAGATGAAACTAGCTATTCACAGCCTGGTACAAAAACAAAACAGATCTGATTAGTTAATGTCATCATGGGCACACACTGTACGGGGGGATGTCATTTTAAAAAAATGACTCCGTTTTGATTTGTTAAAGATACATGTTATCTATAGTTAGGCGCGTAGCTGACATGATTGACAGGTGGGCTCGATGTAACCGTTAGACAAGAGTCTTAAAACCCGCTTCAGCTCCAGCTCTCAGCCTGTCGTTAAGTTGACTGAAAGTTAGGCTGAGACAGCATTTCCAACATGGTGGCTGCTGCCGATGATCCTCTGGAGCCCCCTGCAGGAACAGATAGGTGACGTCACTAAGGCTTGGTCCAGTAATATTTACAGTCTATGGCTGTAATCCAGAGGTTATGGTTTAAAAAAATAAAAATAAATTAAGACGGCAAATCTCCCTTAGGGACTTCCAATGAGAGACCTGAAATGGCCGTTTATCTACAGCAGGAGAAAAAATAAGGACTTCTGCTAATCACCATAGAAAGCTCTGTCAAGAAGTCGTCGACTAAATAGAAAACAAGCCGACGAACCTGTCGCTGCTTATTGAAGTGAATTCACTGACTCAGCTCGGAGAAAATAAAGCTCCATGTGAAAGCATGTTAGATATGATACACGGATTGCACTAACAGAACGACCACATGCTCATTCTCTCTCTC